GAAGAGTGACCAGGGAATCCAGTTGGCGCTCAACACTCAAGGGTAGGCAAGACGGCTATGCAATCAGACTATTGCTGGTACCATAATAATTTGAACGCTGTGCTTGATGGTGGGAATGGAGCACTTATAACAACAATCTCATGAGTGATAATGTTGATTCTTTGATTTAAGATGCCCACACAAAACTAATAATATGCTTCTTCTTTGTTCACCGGCTGTAAGCTCTGGTGGAAAGTCCTAGTTATTCATCCATTTAGATTTTGGATTTGTGTGTGCAGCTGGTTTCTTACCACTCAGGCAGATGCATTCCGACTGTTACCATTCTGGCAGATGCATTCCGACTTTCTTACCACTCAGGCAGATGCATTCCGACTGTTTCTTACCATTCTGGCAGATGCATTCCGACTGTTTCTTACCATTCTGGCAGATGCATTCCGACTTTGAAGAAAGTCCCCAGTTAGTCGATTCCTATGAGATAGGAATCTGCTGAAAACAGGCATGCTTTGTGCAGAGTGGCAAGCACCTCTTCAGGGGTCCCAGGTAGTTAGCATCCTTTGGATATTTTTTCTCCAGTTATGCCGTTGTGTTGGGAAATGAGTAGGCAGATAAACTGGCTGGCTTTGCACCACTTGGTGGTAAAATGATGTATGACAAGTTAAGACATTGTGAAGGCCCTTTGGGAGCGAGTAAACAGTGCCGAGGTGAAGACATTACTGAATGGCGCTGCGAGGAGTTACCAGGGGATCTGGCCGACACTCAACACTCAGGGGAAGGATGAGACAGATATACAATCAGACTGCTACTGGTACTCTTTGCTTGCTGCTGAAGATGGGGAACTGAGCACTAATGGGAGTGTCCTGAGTGTTGTGATGTCAATTCTCTATTCAACATTCTACAAGATACTTGTTGGGGAGGCAGTGGGTCTTCTTTTGCTTTCCCCAAACTGGATCCTGAAACCCAGACAGGGACAAAGAATATAAAAACAAAGGTTGAATATATAACATGCAGGCACTGTCTGAAGACGGACACTTGAACTCAGCTATGAACCTTTGAACCCAAACTATATTTATTGGGACATTCTCATAAATCCTCTGCCCTCATCTTCAGCAGTCAGTGCACAGAGTTCCAACACCAAAGGTACCAGCAGAAGTCTGACTATATCAATCTCCCGCTTCCTTTGAGTGTCAGCAGGATCCGCTTGGTAACTCTCTGCAGGACCACTCTCTTTAGACCTTGAAGATCTATGTATGACTGCACTGTTTAGATGTGCACTTAGTTGCGCACGCACAACATGAAGTGGGTGAGCATGTGACAATGGACACCGATATTTAACAAGAACATTTTATTGATAATCCAGTTCGAATAACAAACAGCAAACAACATAACAAAGCCATGCACACAACACAAACAAACCAGTTCTCTATATACAAACATCTTTACCATGCACACAGCAATTTAGGTGCTTTACTAATATCCTATCCCAAGCAGGGAAAATCCACAGGTCACCGGACAGTCTAATATTTCAGGGGGTGGTAGATAGGCTGCATGCAGCCGTGGGACCTAGGCTGCTTGTAGTAGTGGGATGTAGGTGCGTTGGGGTTAGTTCTAAATGTTTTGGGGTCGTTAAAAGCATTAGAAAGCCTAAAAACCCAGTCTTACCACCCTCTAATATGTTGGACTGTCCTGTGACATCATCTGGGATATAGGTTATCACAAAAGAACCACAATTTACACAACCTCCCCCCCCCAACAAAAACTCCCCGCTGGCGACTTACAACTTGGGTCATACCCTGTTTATTTCTATCTGAGTTTTACCTGAGACCTATAACCATGTCCTTTGCTTTATATACAGTATCTTCTAACAAGTAAACTAAAGGTGCCACTATACTTCACACCACCCACCGATTGATCTAAAAAAAAATATCTCTAGCCTTGTATACCAGATGCACCACTGGCGTGTTAAAGGACATTTAATTTACATCACACCCATGGATGTACACCACACCCTTTGATGCGCACTACACCCTCACTGCACACAAGCGTTGGGAAGTGCACAGGGCACTCATATTTAGTTAAAACTCATTGTTTACCCCCCCCCCCCCCAGCTTTTTCTCCTTTCTCTTTATTTATTTTTTGGTACTTGTCTTATCTTTATTCCAATGGTGATCTGTTGCATCATCCTCCATGACCAGTAATTCCAAGTCTGCCATAGTCTTCGCTTCTGCATTTTCTTCATTGCTATTCCTTTTCTGCTCATTTTATGTTTGCTTGTGACCAGATACAGTTTCTGCATTCTCATTTCTGTCATTACCAGTATCCACACCTCTAGGATGAGATACAACAATAACATATGGGCATGTTAGAGGCATCCCAAAGTATGAGGGTAAAGCTATAAAGCTTAGGCATGGTGATAGAGGTGTTACGAGTAACAAGGTACTGCTGACCAAGGCAGGTGGCATAGAGCTGACTGGGTTGAGTTTAGTCAAGAATTGACATAACATCACTCGGGGCATTCCCATGCATGCTCCGCCCTCATCTTCAGCAGCCAGCACAAGAGTTCTAATACTGACTACAACACAATACAGTTTTAGTGATGAGGCATGCCACATCTAGCAGCCATATAGCAGACAGCTTTCCTGGAGCAGGATAAGAACTATAAAGCTGATTCAGGCAGTGACACAGAAGGACTATAGAGCAACAAGATAAAGTCAAGCGACACAGAGGTCTTAAAGCAAGATACAGCTAGAAGGCGGATGGAGATGTGGTAACATAGAGTTCCACCTCTATCTTATAGATTCACCATATTTTGGTTCAACTGATCACCTCAATCTCACCAAACAGTGTCATCTTTTGATTCAATCCATCCTCACATAGATTGATCATTTCTTGATACAAAATATCATCACTTCATTTCTTGATACAAAACATCATCACTATCACATAACACAATAGCCCCATCTCACTATACATTATCTCTATCTCACTAAGTAGATATGCTTTTCTTTTTTGATTAAACATAACCTGCATGCCATCAGAGATATTTGTCTGCTGCTGTTTCATATGTATATATAAATGTATAAACACTACTGTCTGGCTGTACAAACACAATGTTACTGTTGCCATCAGAATTGGAACGCTCTGCTTGCTGCTGAAGATGGGGCGCTTATGGGAGTGTCCCCAGTGCGATGATGTTGATTCTTATATTCAACATCACATACAACTATTGTCTTATCAACGGCACCTGTCCCTACACTGTACCTTTATATCCATACAAGCATGACCAATCAGTAATTCTTCTGAAATATAGAGATAAGCTAAGAACTGACATCAAAGCATGTGAGACATCCCAACAACAACTCCAGCAGCCATCGACCAGTTCTAGTTCCATTGGCGCTGGAAGCAGTTTGATCATGTGTTTCTGCCGACCGCTGTGGCCGGCCGGGACAGCATTTGGGTCTCAGTCCCCTTAGATCTCATCAACACCGCAGGAGTCCTTTTCAGCTTTCAGTGGTGTGCAGTGCTAGGCCATTTTATATGGCGTGCATAATCTAACCACAATTATAACCTAAAGCTCCCGCTTCTGGGATACAGGTGGAACGTGAAGATTTTTCTTCTTTAGCAAAGCAGAAGTATATGATTATTTCTGGTCTGGTAGTCTTAGTTTCAGACTCACAGCAAACGGGCCACCCCATCTTTGCTCCGATCCTGTGCCAATGAAAAACACACAGAATGTTTATCACAGTCCCTTGTGGAAAGATTGAAAGACTGCTGTCTCAGCATATCTAGCATACACACTCATCGAAGCATACAGCAGCCATTCGAAGTGCTAACACAAACAGTCCGACATTAGAAATGCAGTTCATCATTGATGGTAGCCGAAGTCACTAACAAATCAGCAGTTGCCCATGCAATCAATTTTAATCACATACGGACACCACCAACATTGCGATAACAGACATCGTGCCATATTCTGAATCTACAATACACACCACCACGGTGGTCACAGCGAAAAAACATTCCAAATGAAATCAGCAGCTCAGTGTCACACCATGCATTCAACTCAGAATCTGGGTGACAAAACTATATCCAGTCTACAAATCAAGCAACAAGTTTGCTAGGGTTTAAACAGTGGCCCTGCCTAGCGTATATTTTGACCGAAAGTCTGACTTGCCATTCCTGAGTGTAAAGCATCAAAAACCCCTAGCTACACGTAGCTGTAACATTGTCTCCAGACCATAATGATTTATCTTTGTGCCTTGCTCCCAAAAGGCCTTGATCACATCAAGCTTGTCACAGATAAATACACAACCCATTAAAATAAAAGTCTGTTTATTCATTTGCTCATTACTTGACTTATCTAGTCTTTCCTTTCAAGATTGTTGAATATTTTGCAAGTCTCAACATCATAAAGTTAAACCTATGAACACTGGCTGCTAGCTCAAACAGCAATCACTAAGAGGCATTCACATAGTGAGGTTTCCATAGCCAAGTCATATGTCTTGCGTTCTAATGTAGGTTTGTTTCACAGATGAAACTGTTACAGATATTCATGTCGATCACCAATAGAGCTAGGGTGTTCACGGTTTGTGTGTCACCATCAACAGTTGGGTAATCAGGCCATAGGGGATGAAACCTGGCACAACGACAACGGCCTTCTTGGTTTGAAATCTTTTACAAACAGGGTCATGCAGTGTTGCAGATAATACATGACTGCTTAAATTGCTTATCCGGTCGGAACTCAGGATTGTGAAAACCATAAAGATGGTTTGTGTCACCACTGACAACTGGGATATCTGGCCATACATGATGAAACCTGGCACAATGGCACCAGCCTACGTGATTCTAAATCTTTTACAAACAGGGTCATACAGTGTGGCAACAATTAATAATACATATGACTGCTTCAATTGCTTCTCCAGTCAGATCTCGGGATTGTGGAAATCACAAAGATGACTGACCACACAGAAACAGAAAGAGCTGACAGTACTGCTCGGGGTCTTTCATTTTCTCATTTTTGACTTGATGCTTTCAACAAGAGCTTGCGATAACGACTTTGAGGGCTCAACACTTTGGTCAGATTTAGATCCTGTCACCTTCACAGGTTTGCCAGAATGGCCTCTCCTCTTGATCTGTTCATTCATTAGAGCAGCCATATGGGTGCTCTTCTTAAACTGTGCAGAAGACGGATCAATATGGAAGTGCTGAGAAGTATACAGAGCACCAAATCTGGGATCGTTCATGTCTAGTTGAAACTCATCCTCGACTGCCGCCAGCTTTTTCTTCTTCATCTTCATTTTTTTACTCTTCTTTTTACTTGTCTTATCTTTATCGGGGTGCTCATCTTTTACATCATCATCTCCCATTACAAGTAATTCCAAGTCTGCCATATTTTTCGCTTCTGCTTTTTCCTCACTCTCATTCCTTTTCTGCTTCTTTTTTGTTTGCTTGTGAGCAGATACAGCTCCTGTGTTTTCATTAGTATTATCAACAGTATCTGCTTGTTCTTTTTCATCATCAACTGTGTGCTTCTTTACCTTATTTTGCTTCTTCTTTTTCTTCTTTTCCCGTTTCTTTTCCAGATAGTCGCTGACCACGCCTGTATTTTCCTGTTTTCTTTCCTTTCTCTCCATTCTCTTCACCAATGAAGATTTCAGTCCGGGTGTCCAGACAAGCTCTTTTTCTTCTCCTTTTAGCTCATCTCCCTCATCATCACCCTCTTCATCGTCCAACTTTTCCATCAGAAGTTTACGGTACATTGCAATCTTGTCCTCTTCATTCAGCTCTTCGTTTCCGTTACTATCAAGGGCTTGTTTCAGCCAATCAGGTTGATCGTCGGCATCCTGGTCGGAATCGCTCTCTGGGGGTGCTATAATATCTGCATATTTATTTTCTTCTACAATGCTCTCAAGCTCCTTTTGCTGCATACCTCCAATACGCCGACTCAACCGGTCAAATTCAGTCTCATCCCAGGTCACATCTACTTTGGCCTGACACAAAGCCGTTGAACTAAACTGGTTTGGTTTATACTCCAAAATGCTTTGTTCCTGCGAAAACACCTCTCTGGGTGGGTCCTCGAAAGTCATACCATCTGGTATAAAGCGAAGATCTAACCGTACCGAACTAAGTAGATATTCCCGACCATCACATTCATTATAAATAGTCTCTGCCGTAACAACAGAATCACAATCTACCACCGCGAAATAATATCTCAGTCGATTCAGCTGATATTCTCGGAGTTTCTCCGTCTGTGTTGCTTCCAGATCTTTGGAGTCTCTCTTTGCTTGCTGCTGGTTTGTAGCTCTGTTCTTCTTTTTCCCATTTTGCCCTTCTTTATCTGCTTTCCTGCACTCCTGATTTGCCTGTGCTCTGATTTCTCTGGGACCGAGCAGGGCCTCCTCTGCCATTCTCTCTTTGCCGAACTCAGACGGGTAGATAGTCACGGACTTGACCTGGCCCCCGTCTGGCACAAATGACTTGAACAGGACAAATAAATCTTGGGCTTTGACAAAGTCCCAATCCATGTTACAAACAGCGAGTCTGCATGTGGACTCCACGACAGTGACAGCATCTGTGTGAAGTTCATTCCATTTGTGTTCAATATCTGTTTCTTCCAGTGCAAATTCTTGGGAAAATTCTGGTAACTCAACATCATCATCCTCATCATCTGTTGTACAACTGCTGCTGCCTTCCTGGTCACTGTTGGAATCTGGGGAAAGAAGAAAACAAAGAACTAAATACCAGAACTGAAATACATTTATAATAACTATTAAGCATGCATGAATGGATTCAAAGGTCTGGGCTTCAAATCTGTATGCAGGCATATTTTGTTTTATATATATGACCTTGACATCCTGGTTAATACAGCCTTAAATAGGTACCAGGTAAAGTCCTGGGAAGTAAAGGCAGCCGGCGCGATGTTGACCCCATCACCTATCCAGGGCCGATTCGTCTAAAACAGGGTTATTCAACTAGTCCACAGATTACAGCCTTCTGTGCTATATTAATCATCTGTCTGTGCTAAGGTTCTGATCTGTGATGCTTCCCAGCTGCACAATTTTGGGCCATTGAGTGTGTGTTGTTGAACAGCCCTAAAAGTCTATGGTTAAGCACCAGCAAGGAGATAAAAATTAGAATTTTGAGAGCATACTTCTTCCCTGTGGCTACATACGAATGTGAGTCGTGGACTGACTATCAGTCCTTAAGAAAGAGACTAGGGGCTTTTGAGCTGAAATGCTATAAAGTGAATCCTTGAGTGTGAAAGTTCATGAGGCAGGAGAACTGGCGAGAGACCGAGTTTCTTTCAGGAAGACTGTGATGAGAGCGACGTTCTGCAAAGGACCTGCTACATGATGATGATGGGTGTGTGTTGTGTTGTTCGTCCATCACGAGTCATAAAGACCACTTTGCATCCAAAGCAGCGATAACTGGATGAAAGTGGCTCGCACAAGGACTTGGGATTTAAGTGAGGAAGAGTTACACAACTCGTCGACTTCACTTTCTCGGCTATGTCCATCTTGATCCAATGGCAGGACAATGTCAAGATGATTGGGTATAGGCCCCTGAGTAAATTTAGTTAAACAGCCCAGCCCTTGTCTATGAAAAAGTGAGTCTAGCCTCATTTACACAATGTGCCACTTGTGTGTAAAAGGACTTTTACATTTATTTACAGATCACATATAGGTAAAAGTAACGTTAGTCTCCCCACGCCCTGCCCATATACACACGCTCACTTTTGATTGGTAGTTCCTGAACCTGTCACCTTGCCGAGGTGTTCCGCAATGCAGTAGATATGTGTTGTATATTTCAGCACATCAGCGCTTTTAACACTCCAAAAACATAGAGAAACTGGGTCTAGCACAACTCCCCTTAGAGAGCGCTGCAACCTATGTCACAGGCATTCTCTTTCTCTGAATGATACATAAATGCAAGACATCAAAGAAAGCAAACAACAGAGCCGGACACACCCGTAACCTTCAGGAAAGTCGACCAGCCCAACGAACTTGTGAACAAAAAGTGACCTACTCTATTTGGGGAGATTAGCTTGAACCTAACTCATGTATAAAACCCTTCCAACTTTGTGCTGGCCCTTCAAACAGTGATTGGGACTTACAGCTAGGCTGCAATCTTTCAACCCAACACATTTATTGTCAGCAAATCCCTTATTAGTCGCCTTTTATGACATGCTTGTTGTGAGCAGTAAGTCTATCCCCCCCCCCCCCCCCCCCCCACCAAATGCAATCAAGAACCAACACATGGAACATCTAGCTAAATGTAGCTTAAGATTAAGAGCACACACAAATACATACTAATTGGGGAGCATTCTTTGAAGTCGAAGTGCATCTGCCTGAGAGGCAGGGAACCAACAGTCTGCATTTAAGTGAATCAGATCTGTAAAACTGATGCACAAGCAACACTCAGGTTCTGGGAAGGACTGCAGATTAGAAGTGGACAAACAAGCAGAACTTTCCACCAGAGTGTACAGCTGGTGAACGTGAAGAAGAAGACAAAATCCAACAAACGGTATCAAACACTTTGCAGACAGTAATGCTGCATTTAACAGTATACAGACAATACTGTTGCACCCTATATCAAACAAATAGAATTGCTAGACCCAACACTATAGAAATAAGTATTATACAAACAGTAATATTACATCAAACATTACATAAACAATAATCCTGCATAAAACACTGCAAACGGTACTGTTTTGTCCAACATGATACAAACAGAACTGTCACGCCCAACAATATATAAACAATACTGTTATATCCAACTTTACACCAACAGTAATTGATATATTCAACTCTGTGCACACATTTCCACATCCAACTAGTACTGCCATATCCGACACTAGTGAGTCAAGCAAAGAGGGATGGAAAAGAGAATGGTCAGAGTATAATTAGTTAGTGTACTATGGAAACAACTAACATCTACACACTATGGACAGATAACATCAGAGGAACTCCACCCGGCCACTATTTAAAAACAGAAATGTACAACTCTCATCTCTGCTAAAGGTTTTAAACCCGAGTCCATGTGGGCTTATAGTCAGTCAATATTATAGAACTAGTCTACTGCATGCTCTGCGTTGATTAACTCTTTACGGACGTTTAGCCAGTATACTGGCGATTAAGTCTATCCCTTAAAGACATAAAGCCAGTTTACTGGCTCATGATAGAGACACTCTTATTTTGTTCCGTTTGTAGGGAAAACTAACTTTTATGAACAAGTTTTTTTAACAATTAGGATTAACAACAGGATGAACTTTCATCTGCGATGTTCATCGTGATCGGTGCATTGTTTTGTGATTTTTAAAAATTTATTTAGATGGGATATAATTTGTACGTGATTTTTCTATACTAAATGATAAGGGAAAAGGTCTTGAACTGTCCATACTGATCTATCGTTGATGAATCCCTGCCAGATGGTGACAAGTCTTGATATTATGACTGATATCTAAGGGACAAATCTACAGGCGATAATTTAGTTTAGGATATACAAATTTCACAGAATATTTCAATTATATCAATGTTTTGATCAGCTGTTTTTCCGATTTTCGGTTGTGAAAACTGACATGTCATACAAAAATGATTATAATATCTAAAGTATTTAAATTATTTGTATCAAAAAAAGACTAGCTAATACATAATTGAACAGAGAAGGCATGTGTATTCTTAGAATTGGATAGCAGTGTTGTTGAAGCAGTAAAAAAAAAGGGTTAGCACATAATTTTAGATGTAAAAAATGTTCATATGTGTCTAACATCCTTGAATGTTGTTATGATATGTGATTTTTATAATATTTTGATGTTATACTGACATTTAAGTAGTTTAGATTAATTCTGCACTCATTTATCTTTAATTTGATATATCCTGATGCAGCCTATACCTTTTCTTCAGGAAGGTTTTAGCTTTGTCGTGTTGCACTAAAAAAATTCCGCTTTAAATTAATGCTGTCCAAACCCCAGAAAGAATGCTGTCCTAAAGGAGTTAACTATGGTATTACCACTTTGAGACATGAAGCAAAATGGCGAGCATGCTCCAGACTCAGATACATTTTTAAATCATCAACACCCCCACCCTCCAAACAAAAATACCATGCCATATGTTTTAATTATAACAGTCTTTCAAGGGTGATCTCTGCCATTTCCCCAAAGTGGCGCTGTGCTCGTCTGAATGCATAACAGTGACTCTAATATTATCTCAGGTACATGCTTGCTTTTTACTCAAAGAACACTTTTTTATGTCCTTGGTGTAATGGATATATGATGCTAGATGCATATGTTTTACAAGCCAACTGGTAATAGATGGGTAAATAAATAAAATATCAAGTCAACAATCTTCAATTTCAATGACATTATGATTACCAGGCACCAATGTTAGGCTATGTATTTTTTAATCTGTCCGGTGTAGATTCAAACGCAATACCTTCGGATCTGCAGGCAAGCATCCAGCCACTACGATACTGCTGTGCTCTTAAAGTACATATTTAAATTCTTGAGAAAGTCTTACAACCAAGCAAGTCTCCAGTTATTTTGGTTGAAGGTTAAAGTCTCCGCAAATATTGCACTCATTAAGTTAACGAAACAGCCGTGAATCTAACACATGACCTTCAGAGCGTGAGGCAAATGACTTGGACCACTTCGCCACAAAGAAAGAAACAAACACACCAACATTATAAAAACAAGACAACTTACAATTGTATAGTATAGCAATAAAATCTGGCTTATTTAAACTTATTGCTTATCACAGACAACTATTCCAAGCTTCAGCCAAGAAAATCATACAGTACAAATATTTAAAATTATTACCTTTTACTGGCGAAGATTTCGCTGATACAATTTTGTCCTTTCTACCAAATACAAGTTTGTTGACTTTGTTGTTAGTTGGGGTCCTCTTCTTTTCTATTTGTTTCTTCTTCTTCTGCTCTTGTGAAATTTGTCTCTGTGGTTTGGTCTCAGTCTCACTGAATGACTTAGTACTGACATCATCGTCTACTCTAGGTCTTTTGTTTTTCCTTCTTTCTTTATTCTGCTGACTGTGTGCGACTTCCTGATCTGACTCAGATTTCTCGTCCTCATTATCGTCTTCTTCATCATCATCATCCTCATCAGAAAGCTCATAAAACCTCTTCATGACATTACTATTACGTTTTGTGGCGTCAAAAATGGGTCGGCCTCGTTTATCTATTTCCGTCTTGTGGCTGAACTTTTCGCTGGTAAACACAGACCGAAATCGTGAATCAATTTTTACTTTCTTCTTCGATTTCGGCATAATCATAAACTTTGGGTCTGACAAAATATGCGCAAAACGGGGGTCGTCCTGTATATCCTCCATGATTTAAGAGAGAATATATAGGTTATTACGGTAAATTAGAAACTTCTGCTCTAGTGGAAGACTGCTGATCTCGATGGAAACGTACAAATGCGAACAAATAAGTGAAACTGTCCGAGGTGAAAGAAAACCAAACTCAACACGTGGTAGCAGCTGTCTCCATGCTTCCCTGTTTGTTTACATGCCAACTTCCGCTCCCAGGACTTCCGTCTTTACGACATACCAGAAATAGGTTCGTGTTCACTTTGTGGTAGGTCCTGCCAGAGCATGTGCGCTTGTATTCACTTTCAGATAGGCGCGCTGATACCAAGACAATACTAGGAGCTAAACACTTTCCCCAAATAAAGATTTAAAAAATCGGGGCCTAATGCCCAGAAAGCAATGGCAAACTACTGGACGTAAATTTGTCAAGAAAATCCAAAACAGCCAAAAAAATGCTGGGGTTGGTTCTGTCATGTCCTGTACAGGACTGGTAATCTTAGTTTCAGCTTCATAGCCAACGAGTTCCCTATAGTTGTTCCGCTCCTGTGCCAACGAAAAACACACAGAATGTTTATCACAGTCCTTTGTGGAAAGATTGACAGACTGTTGTCTTAGCATATGCACAAGCATACGCACGCATTAAAAGCATATGGTAGCCATTCGAAGTGTTAACACAAACAGTCCGACATTAGAAATGCAGTTCATCATGGATGGTAGCAGATCAGCAGTTGCACACACGATCAATTTTAATCACATACGGGCACCACCAATATTGCGACAACAGGCATGGCGCCATTTTCTAAATCTACAATTCACACCATCACGGTGGTCAAAGTCGAAAAACAATCCAAATTAAATCCGCAGCTCACAGTGTCACGCCATGCACTCAGCTCAGAAGCTGGGCGACGAAACTATATCCTTCCAGTCCACAAATGGAGCAAAAATGCTACTACAATCAGTAGAGCAAGAGATTGCAAGAGCGTTGCATATATTCAATGTGATTTTTCTCAGGCGCGCAGTTTTTACCCTATCTGCAATCATTTTCTTGTATATCAATATACCCTTCCTCATTTTCCCCACCATGCAAGATGCTACATCTAATACCTGCTCACTCCTCACATGCATGGTCAATTAATACATTTTATCTCCGGATCGGGTCCTGGTAGTATCTGACATTGTTTTCAAAAATAACCTTGGCTCCCAGGTAGGCGAACCCTTAAATGAGTACCAAGTGGAGTCCTGGGAAGTAAAGACGACCGGCGTGATGTTGGCTACATCACCCACCTAGTGTAGATTGGTCTTAAAGTATAGGTCTAGCCCTATATGCCCAGTACGCATGAAGGCGTCATAAAGGTCCTTTACTTTTGTTTTAACTATCCACATTAGTACTCTAACTTTCAACAAATGATTCATGACAATTCCCAACCAGGTGGTGTGATTATCTATACAGATGTCTCTGTGTTGAGGGGCAGACGAAGTGAATTGGGGTTCATAGCAAAGTCGAATGGACGTCGCTTAGTGCAGCAAAGCCTTGCGTATGATATCATAACGTCTAGTTTGAGAATTGAGGTGGAGGCAGTCTCTGCTGCCTTGAGAATCAGCTGTACACACATGCCGAGATTGTAACTGACTCACAGAGCATGTTGAGAAACATGCAATCTTCGTGTAGAGTGGCAAGCATCACTTCAGAGGTCCCGTGTAGTTAGCATACTTTGGATAATTTCTCTGGGTCATGCCGGTGTGTTGGGTAAAGAGCAGGCAGATAGACTGGTCTGTTCTGCACCACTTGGTGGTGAATTGATGTATGACACGCTAGATATTGTGAGGGTCCTTTTGTCCTTAACACTCAGGGGAAGGATGAGACTGATATAAAACCAGACGTTTACTGGTACCATCGGAATTAGATTATAACTCTTCGCTTGCTGCTGAAGATGGGGACAGAGCACTTATGAGAGTGGCCAGAGTGCTGTGATGTCGATTCTTAATTCAACATTCAAGTACTCTAACTATGCCTTGATCTGCGACCGCATTATAATCTCTACCGTTTAGGGTCGGGAATGCCTTGCTTTTGGTAAAAGATATAATAAGGTATAAGAAATGTCTAAAATATCTGCATGTGATTGAAAGAGTAAGTACGTGTCAGATAGTCGAGGTTCCAACATCAGTGCAGTCAGCCCGCCCCACCACTGCTCCGGTCCGTGCCAGTGGAAATCACTGTCCCATTTGAAAACTTGTGAAAAATTTGCCAGTCAAAGCAAAATCTGGAAGCTTGCACACGCAATGTTACAATGCACAAGGCAACTGTCAGATGCCAGCAGATCAAGTCCTTCAAGACTGTCCCAAACACAACATATCAAGTGAAACTTCTGGCCAAGTGAAACACCGGTGCAAGCCAAACTTCACGGGTCTCGGAGTGAATTACAAAAGACAGTGAAGTTCATACTATAGACAACATTGTAGATGCAGATAATCTATTTCAAACGAACAAAAAGAAGAAGAAGAAGTCAATACTAGCTATCCCCTAACGTTGTCTGTAATTTGAGTTTCTGATGAATGAATCTGTCTGATATCGGTCCTGTATGTTCCATAACATGCACTTTGCGATGAAAGTATATCCCATACCGTGAACTTAAGGCAGGTTATTTTTTTTCTTCTTCTGACGGTAGGCAGTACACTTGAGTAGTGAGTACCAGCACCTTTTTTTAAGACACTTTGTGGTGAATACCCGCACCTTTTCTTTGCGCCACTGTAATAGACACTTGAGTACCAGCACCTTTTTTTTAGACACTTTGCGGTGAATACGGCACCTTTTCTTTGCGCCGTTGTAATAGACACTTGAGTACCAGCACCTTTCTTTTAGACACTTTGTGGTGAATACCGGCACCTTTTCTTTGCGCCACTGTAATAGACACTTGAGTACCAGCACCTTTTCTTAGCGCTACTGTAATAGACACTTGAGTAGTGAGTACCAGAACCATTTTTAGACACTTTGTGGTGAGTGCCGGCACTTTTTTAGACACTTTATGGTGAGTGCCAGCACTTTTTTTTAGACACTTTATGGTTAGTACTGGCACCCTTTTTTGACACTTTATGGTGAGTACCAGCACCTTTTTTAGACACTTTGTGGTGAGTGCCGGCACTTTTTTTTAGACACTTTATGGTTAGTACCGGCACCCTTTTTAGACACTTTATGGTGAGTGCCGGCACCTTTTTAGACACTTTATATTGAGTACCATCACCTTTATTAGACACTTTATGGTGAGTACTGGCACATTTTTTTACCTAAGAAATAAAAAAGCCCTCTATGGAAGTATATCATGTATGACATTTACCAGGTCCGTGGCTTAGGCGTTGCGAGTCCGACTCGTAATTCCAAAGTACCGTGATCGAAACCCACTGCTTGCTGCGTGGATTTGTATCATGGTATGGGGCGTCGCAGGTCGACCCAGCCTAAAATGGGTACCAGGATGGCTGTCCTGGGAAAGTAAAGACGGCCGGCGTTATGGTGACCACATAACCCACCTAGTGCCGATTGGTCTGTAAAAATATGGGTGCTCTTCCCAGATACCTAATGCGCCCAAGGCGTAAAAAGGTATCTTTACTTTTTTTTAGGTACTTTGTATGTACAGTACTGTTTCAGAATATTCATACATCTCTTTTCAGTACTAATTATTTATGCCTGCCATATTTATATTCAGCCTTGAGTGGGTACCGGGTATAGTCCTGGGAAGTAAAGGCGGCCCTTGATGTTGGCAACATCCCCCATCTTGTGCCGATTGGTCTATAAAAATATAGGTCTAGCTGTATATGCCCAATAGTTACACTGTTATCCTCTTGTCAGTTTCGAGGCGTAAATTTGGGAGGTACGGTGAGGATGGGTTAGAGCGGGTGAGGATGGGTTAGAGTTGGGTTGGGGTGGGGGGGGGGGAGGAGGGAGGATGGAACAGACACATAGTCATCTGACAATTATGAGGGAAGTAGAAGGTAAAAGAAAGATAATGAATTAATGAGACCGTCGAACATTCAAATTGATAGACGATGAACTGTAGAAGTTGATGAACTGTAGACGTTGATGAACTGCCCTGTTTGGTTCACGAGTACAATGATTATGGGGATTTATGAAGCTTCGAGGCTCGTGATTTGTAATAACCTGCTGCATTGTAGTAAGACGAGAGGCAATAAAAGGCTAAGAAAGGCCAAACCTGAAAATTGCCTGTCTAAACTGGATATACAAACTCACATACCTAACTAACAACTGTTCAATGCTACTGGCCAACAGTTCAGTGCTACTGACCAACAGTTCAGGGGTCCTACTGACCAACAGCTCAGTGCAGCTGACTAAGACTTTACTGTAATTGACAGCACTCCACGATTAAAGTGACAAATTATTGTAAGTCCGCAACAGTTCGATGCAAATGACAGTCCATTGTCACTGAGCTACAATTCTATGTGAGTAACAGTTCGCTACAACTGACCACAGGTCAACAGCAATTGAAAACCAGCTCACTACAACTAAAGAATAGCCCACTGCAACTGACCAACAGTTCAGTGCAATTTACCAAACGCTCACTGCTACTGACAAACAGTTCACAGTAACTGACCAAAGCTCACTGCAAATGACCAGTTGCTCACCACAACATAACAACAATTCAGTGCAATTTACCAGACGCTCACTGCAACTGACAAACTGTTTACTGAACTTAAACCAAAGCTTACTCCAACTGATCAAAGCCCACTGCAACTGACCAACAGTTCAGTGCAACTGACCAACAACTCACTGCAACAATATACCATATAACTTCCTGTTAGGTGTCAATCAGTACTTTTAAATCTAATCTTCCCTGTAGGAAAATCAGACTCACTAAAGGGAAAGAAACAATCGCGTCTGCAGTAAATGTGTGATTATTTGATTGTCGTGGTAAAGGATTACCGTGACATAATTCGATAACCCAGTGACCTGACCTGCAACAAAATAGCATTTACATGGTTACCTCCGATCTGGTCTACCGTAATAGAGGGGA